TAATCAAATATTTAAGCTATCGATCCTCTATGGGGGGCTTACGAAAATATTGATACAATTTGCAAACGAGAAATTTAATTATCTACTACTGTAATTAATCCAGTTCCAATATTACAAAATTATGATTTTAAAATTGTCTTTACAATGTTGCTTCAATCTTGTTTATTTATGGGAAATTTTAGACTGAAACCCCACAAAGTGTGGCACATTGCAGCTTTAGTTTCCATAGTCAGGTTCTTTGAACCCCCATAAGAAAAGGGGAGTGAGAAAATGAAACTTGAAACTTAACTACAATTTTTGTGGAGTTCGGCAGTAACATAAACCCCTACAAACTTTAAGAGAAACAGAGATTGCAGTAGTATTTCAAATACAAGTGCATGGGACTTTTAAATTTCAATTGAACTTTATGAGCATATTTTCATTAGAATCTTAAAAGAACTGTGAGAGAGTTTTAGGAGCATTTCTGAATTTCAGACAATTCTATTGAAAATTTCAAAGATCAAAGTTTAATGTGTACACTTTTTGTGAATTAAAGTGAATTTCAAGAGAATTTCAAGATGGTCTAAATTGGAATGCTAGTGTACGTTCACTTTTTGCAATAAAAATAAAAGAAAATGATTAGACAATCTCAAAAGAATGTCAAAAAACATGAACAGAGCTTTCACAAAATTGAAATAGTTCAAAATTTGTTCAGTGTCTCAAGAAAATTTTTTTATGAATTAGAAGGGAAATAATAGAGAATCTCCCGAGGAAGATTTCAAGAATAGCTTTTAGAAAATTTTTAATGAACTTCAGAATTCAATTAAATTTCAAAGCTCTAAGCAAGGTTTTTCAAGCTCATAGGTGAAGACTAAAACAATTTCCGGATAATTTTTAGAGAATTAGAGTAAAATTTCAAAAGACCTTAAAAAAATTTTAAGGGAATTGTATGAGGATTTCAAAAAGAAATTTCGACACCATTTCACAACAATTTTGAAAGAAACTCATGGTAATTCTGCATAGGATAGAATTTAAATAGAATTAAAGCTATTTTGTAAGAGAATTGTTAGGGTGTTTCAACACAATTTCCAGCATTAAGACAAAATCTCAAGCTTTCTCAAGAAAATGCTGGTAGAGTGTATAATAGTATTTTAATAGTGTAGCAAGCCATTAGGCATCAAAGGTCACCGGCGGTAATCTTGAATTTTCACTTATAATATCACAAGAGCTTAAATTATTTCCGGTAATTTTTTTTGAGGGCACGAATATTAATATAATAATAATAATAATTATCAAAATATTCGTGCCCTCAAAAAAATTTCCGGAAATAATTTAAGCTCTTGTGATATTATAAGTGAAAATTTCACACCTCTACTTTTTAACGAATAAGATGCCTTAATTTTGACTAGTTACCATAGCAACTAAAAAAATTTCCGGAATTTTCGCATCTTATTGGTTAAAAAGTAGAGGTGTGAAATTTTCCAGACAATTCCTCACACGTTCTGTGAAATCTGATGCCGATGTTCCCAGACTTTCCGTATTACATAAACGTGTCATTTAATATATAAGCAATAAATTGAATCGCGTGTGGGTTCAGTTCCAACTTCGATGCGCTTGTAAGTGATAAATAATAATTACTGTTATAAATGAATAGATTTTTAAGACTGTTATAAATTGAATGTTAGTTAATTGTAAATAAAAAAAACTACGTAATTAAATTAACACTGGTGTCAAGTGAAAAATTTTTTATGCCAGTAGTGACCACAAAAATGGAGCAACTTCCGCAGTTGATGCAAAGCTGGTGAAGCCAAATTCGAAGCCGGTCAAGATGAGATGGAAACAGGTCAACAAACCATGGAGGCTAAAATAGAAACTGGTCAAGCTGAAGTGAAATCCGGTCAGCAGGCCATGGAAGCTAAAATCGAAGCCGGTCAACAAACCATAGCAGCTAAATATATGAGTTTTGTTTGAAGACGAGATACAGAGTGACCAAAATGAGAGACAGAGTGTTCAATTCATGTAACAGAAAAAAGGATATCGATGAACTACGAAAACGTTCCACAATTGTCCCGGAAAGAAGTCCCCGAACCGTCTGAAAACGTTGGTACTACAAAAGTTCGAGTTAAACCGCCAAAAATTCGATGGAAAATCACCTACTTGAAACAGTTCGAGACTGAGCTGCCGCTGCAAATAAATGGACAGGGGAAGAGAAGGAAACTTTCCTTATAATTGCGTTACGTGGAGATTTAGAATAGAATAGAATACGTTTATTACCGTCCTTGTGACGAAAAGAAACACATTAACAGAGGTCAAAATTATGAATTAATTGCTACATATTCCTAAAATTAAAGTTCTCAAATTCTGACGAACTATAAAATGCCCGTTCCAACAAAAAAAGTTTAATTTTAGTTGTTAATTTTTTATATTCTAAATTTCTTATTTCTAATGGTAACAAATTAAAAAAATGAATTGATAAATTAATGTGACTTTTGTGGGTTTTAGTCAACCTAAAAAAGCTTTTACACAATTGTTTACAACCACGTGTTTATTAATTTATTTAAGTGGACCACGGTGATTTTCCATTGAATGTCGGTGGATCAATCCGAGCTTTCCTCGTACCAGTAGTTTCACACGGTGAGGTTTCTTTGTGGAACAGAAAGTAGATTTTTATTTTATTTATTTATTTTATTTTTATTTATTTTAGCTTCCATGGTTTGTTGATCTGTTTTCATTTTTTTTTTGACCGGTTTTCACCGCTTGCATTTATTGCGGTAGTTTCTGGTCACTACCGACATAAACTTTTACTAATTATGCACTTAAACATAACCCGACACTTGGCACCATCGTAACGTACATTTATTTACGTTGTTTTATTTATGTACAACTAACAATAGATTTATAAAAGTCTTAAACTGGATTAATTTATAATTATTATTTATCACATACAATTTATAACATAACACAAGCGCATCGAAGTTGGAACTGAACACAAATACGCAACATTCCAGAAAAATAAAATCTCTTTCGGCGCGACCGATCAGGTGTAGGTAGATTTCTGTAAAGTGTTCGCCGAGATATTTATGAGTTACACTAACCGTTAAAGTTTGCTCGAAATGGAATATCGGATCTCGGTAAATATCGAATGTACACAATTTTCCTCTATGAAAGTCGTCTTAACATTTTTTTTTTATATTTTTATATTTTATTTTATTATGAGTAACGAAAAACAATTGAATTTTTTTAAATGGTAGTGCACATTTTAATTTTCGATGATATAACATGTTAGTATCCTTATTCAAGAAATTTTTCAAAAAAATTTGATCAGTAACATTAATCCAGATATCCTACATCACAATAAAACAAATGAACGTGTATTATTAAACCTTGAAGACGAAACGAAATTAGCAGTCAAATGGGTTTCATCGTAATCAATGTTTAAAATGTTCACCATTAACAGATAGGACCTATCACAAAATGCTTGAAATAAAATTAGCACGGGTGCTAACGTGGTACGTCATTGAAAAGAGAAAAAAAATCCCTATCAAATGAGCCTAATTAAAGTGTGCATTGCTATTTAAAAAAATTCAATTGTTTTTCGATATTCATTTGTTTTCTGAAATAAAAACAATGGATTGCCTTGCCGCCTTATTATGGGAAATAAAATGCTGAACAACTTTCATATAGAAAAATTTTGTATAGAGAATATTTACCGAGATATATACTATATTCCATATATAATGGGCACCCTGTATATAAACTTATAATTCTATGAACCTATAAATATACTGGTACCACCTAAAATATGCAGGCGAATGACGATATTGCGTTTTTCAACGCATAGATTAATGCAATCAATGCATAAGTATTGGAAAAATTCATGATATTCGATTACTAGTTAATCAATCAATGTAAATGACAATTTCGTAATAGACTAAGCAAAATAATGCATTTGGTAATCAATAAATGCAAGTAATCGAATATTTGATAATCGATTTGTCAAAATAATGCCACATAACTGGAGACTTGATGGTAAAAAATAAACAAAGTGTATACTATGTATAATTGAAAAAATTGATTATAAGCGATTATTTTTTATGATTATTTAATCAGAATAAGCGATTATTTGATAATCGAATAATTGACTAAATTGCTAAAATTGTTCGAGTTGTTGATGGGACAGGACAGCAATAATGACATTAATATTAAAATAAGACTTACCTTCAAGTTGTGTGCGGGTAGTTCACGACGGCACAATAATTCGTAGTTTAATCTTTTTTACGTATCCTGTATCATTGTTCTTGACCTGTTGACGTGGATAAACAAAAAATAAATACATATAAAAAGAAATAAATATACCAATATAAATTCTAGTACCATTCCCAGTTTTATATTCCCAGTATAGTTAGTTGCAGGATAAAAAATTAGTATTCCACAAACTTCCATGCGTTATTGCGGCGAAATAAAAAAATCCACTCATACTGATAAATTGTTGATTAGTTGCACTATAATATGGGGAAATATTTTAATAGGTTCTAGTTACGCCTTAATTTCGAATGAGATGTCAAAATTGCCCTTAATTTTGAGAACTCGAATTCGAAATTAGGTGCCGCAACTTTTAGTGTCCAAATTACAGCTTGAATTGTAACTAACATAACCCCCTGAAAACTTTCGAATTACATAGCATTTATGTTCTTGAATTTAGGCAAAGAAATTGTTTTCAATGGGAAAAGTGACCTTTACAAAATAAGAGAATAAACCCCATTTTATATTGCATGAGATCGCCATCCGAAAGCTAAATTATTCAGAAGGCGGAAATTCCTACGATTTTCCTCGGGCTGGCATTGACAGGGCTCTCGCTTGCGAAATGAGAACGAGTCGCTTCTATCATTTTTTTTATTAAAGAAACATTTTCTCCATTAAGAACACACACGAACATTTCGTAAAATCATGATTCGCTAAAATTAATCTAAATGAATATTGGTCAACGCGGGTATACAGGGGTGTTTCGGAAAGTATAACCGTTTATCTTGTCTATATATTAAAATACTGATGATTTTACGGAGTGAAATCTTCGTCATTTTCCTTGCGATAAATTCGAAACGTAACTATAAAAAAGGTGATTGCGTCTTTTGCAATGAAAATGACGATTACAAAATTTGCGAACATGTAGATGGTTGCCGTGACTTTTATTAGTAGGTAGGTACATAATTGGCATTTTCGTTAGCGCGGTATACATTTGACATCACACAAAATTATGAATTCTTGAGAGCAAATTACATCTGGAAAAATTAATTGCAGTATATGATATGTGCGGGATTATTTTTTGGGGATTAGATATGTGCGGGTTATCACGGGAATTTCACATTTCCGTTGTAGGTATACTTGCATTAAACCCCAAAGGAGGTTCTGTGAAGAGTTTAAATTGGAACTTGCGAGTATAATAGAAACGATCACATTTAGAACTATAAGAAGACGAGAATGGTGGTAGGTATCTACTAGTGTTAGTCAAGACCCGTCACAGAAGCCCTTTTGAGACTTATGCATTACAAAACCATTACTACAAGTAGATATTTAGGGCCGCAGAATAAAACGGCTCTGAATCACACAAAAACAAACACTTTCGACATGCTCTGATATGGTTAGGTGAAGGGATATTGCCACTTTGTTATTAATTAACCGACAACCTCTGAAATTTGCTCACAAGACGTAAGCGTTTTATGGTAAAAACGAAGCTCCTATATCGACCGCCAAGCTTTAAATAGTCCCTAGCAATGGATTACTAAACACTCCGGACTACTTTAGTGTAAAAATGGTATGAAAGGTCAACTTTGAAAAACAAAAACAATTACGCTAAAATTTTATAGCTAACTTCATAGCTTTCTTGTTATATTAATATACTCTAAGGTAATAATTACATTTATTTATAGGATAGACAAATTCAAAACTCAAATATAAATTTTAGAAAATATGGTCAATTCTCGACCAATTTAAGGTTATTATGTTTGTATTTGTCTATTGGCGGTGTGCGTTAACGTTTTTCGATCAGTTTGAAGGTTTATATCTCCCTTAAGTTAAACATTCAAACTCGTCTAATTGTTTTTAATCCACGTTCGAAGCGGTTTAACATTCGGCAGTTGTGAGCTGAAAACTTTACATTGAACAACGCAGCAAATCGAGGCTTTTTGACCACAATCGAACGCAGTTACTAAGACCCGCTACGTTTAGGCTACTTACACCATACACTCTAATTGTTTTTATGTGGTGTATTAAAAATTAATGGTGGTATTGTCATTCACACTCACCTAGAAATTCTACAAATTTTCTACCGTTCTGCTTTATTCTCTCAACCCCGATCTCCTTTATTAGTCTTAAGAAAGTTAACCTATTTCGTTATAAAAAGTTGCAAAAGGGTTTAACAAGCACTCCGGGTTTTTTGGGGTGGGAGGGAAAGGTTGGGGAAGATATCAAAGATTTACACTATGTTAGTGATTTAGTTTTTTTTCTAATTGTCCATAAAATCTATAATTTACCAGCCGAATCTCACGTCTTCCATTGTAGTCGTCGATAAATGAAACACGTAGAAAAATTATGCTATCGGTCGAGCGCTGGGTTCTGCACCCGACTCACCCTGCAGGCTACGACCCGGCCGCCCCTGAAAAGAAAAATAAATTATTTTATTTACCTGCAACCGACTTTTTCTGTTCGATGTAATTAAAAGTTGATAAGAGTTTTAATGGTTTGGAGGAGAGGGCTAATTCCTTTATTCAGTTGTCGTAAGTAGCGCTACACGCTAATTTATCACTAAACTTTCTCTACGCGGTTTTAAATCATTTCGAGTTTGCTACCATTTTTTTTGTTCCGAGTTGAAAGGTGCAATTTGGACTGTGCTTTGATGCTTTGTGTTTTTAATGAGCGTTTATTGCCACTTCCACCTAATTTACAGGGCGTGATTTTTTCAGCCAGTTCGTGTTTTGCTGCTGTGATGTGTTTAATGTTCGCTCATTATGCCTCGGAAAGTAAGCGTCAGAAACAATTTCCGCAATTTATCGTGACTGTGATATGATAATTACCTTATCTTTCCATTAGAGTTTCCAAGTGCACTCACATTCCCTGAGGAGGAAGTATACAAAACAAGAATAGTACCCACAGCAATGCATCTAACAAACGATGGATCATTCAAAATGATAGAATGTGAAATAAATGATGAAGCAAAGAGGGCTTTTGTGCTCTTGACGGTAGTTTAGGGGTCGCTAATTCAAATTTCATAAGAAAGGTTCCGCAATATGAGAAAGGGTATTTTTCTAATATAATCTCTGTGTTTTAAATTGGACATTGGACAAGAAAGCTCGCGTATGGAATATGATGAAATGAATGAATTTATTGTTTTGTAACAGGTTAAATTTGTCTATTTAAAGTAATTTCTTTGTATTCCTGATTTTTGTACATTATAAACATTCATATTTTTGTGGAAACAACGTCTTCATTTCAGCCTAAACACCACAAATAATGACAGGACATCCTGTACATGAGATTATTTCAAATTTATTCAGTAAATCTGGGAGATTATTTACAAATATAAATAAAGTTGGTTTATTTTACTTGAATTCGTATTTCAGTGTTTGTTTTTCCTTTCAGATTTGATTGTAATTACGTAGTTTTGTTTTGTTGTTAGGCAAAATCTAATTAACACACGTGTTCTAGCGCTGATAACCAAGACACAGGTGCTTCGCGTTTCATATTGTTGAGGTTTGGCGCGATTCGCCATGATTTATTAGAAAATTCATAGAGAGGGAGCTTATTTTATGGTGGAAGCGGTGTTTTATACTGGAGACGTTAGTTTCGCGACGGTTGAAGAGCAGCAGTCAGTCTTATTTGTTATGTTGAAGACGCAATTTAAGACTTTTTATTTTAATTGTCACTGCCTGTATGCGGGGTAATATGTCCAAAACACCCTTTGTAAGCTTTGCTTGCTTTCACGGATTTTGTTTCATTTCTTTCATGTGTTTCGGAATCTATTTTTGTCAATCAATTAATTGTACGTTTATTCGAATCCATTTTGCGTCCCGGATAGAGTTTTCGTGTGCGATTTTTCTTTGTGTACCAAAGAATGTCAGTTGTTGAAAGTTTGTGTAGTTAATTCTTTGGCATTTTGGGAAGTTGATCGAGGATACCAATTCTCCCAAATTATTAATTTAAAATCCAGATTGAGGTTTTTAGTTATGACTTAAGCCGGATGTCTACGAGAAAACGACAAATCATACTACCAATGTTAGTTTAGTTAGTTTATTACTGCTCACTATATTTATTTTTAATTTCTTTTTTACAGTAATTTAAGCATAATTATCTTTTGTATATGTGAATTGTACACAAAACTTTAATTTTTTGGGGCCTCTCCCGTAAGACTTATAAATAAATAGCAAAAAAATAGCAAAAGTACCTATAATTCCTAATTAAAAGGTTGTTTTGTTTTGAGCCAGCTGAATTTATTTGGCAGCAAACGTGGGACACACAGTAATATTGTATCACAGTTCTATATTTGAGTTAAGGTATGTATCCGTTTAAGATAAGGCGTGTATGTGCGAGAATGTGCAGAATTATACGGACGGAGTAGAAGTACGCAGGGGGACATTAGCATTCGTCGCCTGGCTCTTAAGGTGGATGCACTTCGACGCATCTCAATTAATTTAGAGAGTTAAGTTTATTTTAGCTGAGGCAGCTTGGAAAGTGAGTACGAAAGATAGGTCCCAAACGTACTACAACAAAAGAAGAAAATCGAATTAAGAATTTCATCAACAGAACGACGAACCCGAAGTTATTCCCAACAATTGTAATTACCGTTACAGTTTTACTAAGGCAATTAATACGTCAGAGCCATTACACACCCCTGGCGCCACATTCTCTCTCACTGAAAAATGTGTAACGTTAGCACCTACTTCAAAATTTTACAGAAAAGGCTAGCGAATTTATTCGACACATTTCATGGTGGTAGTGATTATGGTAGAAAAAGCGTATTGTTTGCTGGGGGGTATTCAACCAAAGTCCCCCCCCCCTCATACTATATTCGTTTCGATCCCCCCAGTATATACGAGGTAATCGAATCATTTTATGGTGGTAGCGAAGATGGCAGAAAATGCGTACTAATCTTTGTTTGCTGGGGGGTATTCCATACCCCCCAAACCCCCCGGTGGTAAATTCTCTCCCATGAATGTTTAGCGTCAGTTGCTTTAGAAAAAAGTCTACCGTCGCGTCGGCGTCTTCAAGAAGAGAATGTCCGATGGTCTTCTTGGAATTCCTCAGGGGTTAGAGTTATACGCACAAATGTAGCACCGGTGGGTCTGGAGGGTATGGGATACCCTCACTATCTACCGAGGTTTTCATTGGGGTGGGTATTCGAATGATGATGGTAGAAAAAGGGTGAAATAATTTCTGTTTACTGGCGGGCCAAGAAAGGAAGGTCCGATGCTATTTTTTGAAAGTATCTGACCAAAGAGTTGGGTACTCCATGGTCCGAACTTTTAACGTTCTGAGATGTTTGCGATAAAAACGCGTAGTAAATATAATCAGATATGGGTATGTTAAGTGCAAAGAACGAAAACGCTTGTGCCAGCAAAATAGCCATTCGTAATATTAAGCTTTTTCTAACTAAAATCACACGATATTCAATAAAGTGCCTTATTTGCAAAAAAGGGTTCAACAAGTGATGCATAAAAATATACCTTTTTGGTTTTTTCCAAGGTCACACTTGTCTTGTTGGATACTGGGTAAATTCCCGCAGAACCCACCTCAATCGATCTTATTACATTTAAATACAGTAGTATAATCAAATAAAGTGTAGTAATGGAGTCGAACACCATTTTTTCCGATCACAAGTATTTTTAGGTACTATTTGACCTTTAAGAGATTGATACAAGGTGTAAACATATTAGTATGTGTTGGAATCCAAAGGGCGCATTTTTTCCGAATAAACCAGTAGCACATAATGTAGGATCTACTACTAATTTTTTTTCTCAACCATCATAACACATAGAAGCATGGAAGTAATATCATTATAAGGGTGCTAGGAGTAACATAAGAAGAACTTGGTACGTTGAATTTTCCGTACCGTTTAAATTTCAAACTACCTTTCTTTCATTTAATTGTATAAAGGAGCTTTTCAATTGCTTACCTCCATCTTGTGTACCATCCATATTTATCTTTGGAGTGGTTTCTCTTTCTCTTTGATGTCTGTGATGGCTCCATTGAAACGTTTCTACGTATCGTATGTTACATTATTACTCAGCATTTTTTCTCATTACGTATGTTCTTTTAGGGCTTTTACTATCATTCAACACTCAAGCGTCACCTTTGCCCATAGTTTTCTTTTAATTTTTTATCGCTATTTCTTTTGGATTTCCTTTTACGTTGATCTACCAGGATTTTACGCATTACCCACGCAGTACGTGGATGATCTGGCTTTTTTTTAACGAGCTAGATGAGTTTCTACATTACCGACTTGAAAAATTATTTCGCCATTACCTGTGACTCACTTACATCGAAGTTTACACCTGGAGATTTCAAGATAGTTCTTAAGTGCAAGTATATTTCAAAACCTTAGAGAACATTACTGTTGTAAATCACTCTGTTATACCTGATAGTACGCACCTTGTTTCCGTTGTTACCGAAGAATATACCTTCCCAATTTTGTTTACGATTACTTTTGTCACTAAGAAGTCTCATTTCTGATAGTCTGATTACGTTATATTCTTTATATTAGTTTGTGTTATTTTTTTTTTTTTTTAGTAATTGGTGTTTGTATAACAAACGTTATTTACACAAGTCAAGAAGATTGAATGAACAGTAAAAATTCCTCAAATGAATAAAAAGCGTTCGTGATTAAAATCTTTCTTACGGAAGCTTTAAATTGGGATAATTCTAACCTTTTCATATTATCATCTAACGCATTGTAAAGCTTTACACCCCAATAGTTAGGACCGTTGAGAGATTTTTGAAGTTTAAAGTGATTTAGCGTAGGAGAGAACAGTATCTTGTCGAATGTTGGTGGTTGATGGTGTTTGATTCATATGAAAGAATATTCTTTTTGACATAAATAAGGCATTGTAATATGAAAATACACGGCAGGGTTAAGATTTTTAATTGGATAAACCAACTTTTACAGTCCTGCCGATACGCTAAACCACTAATAATGCGCAACGCACGCCGCTGCAGGCGAAATAATCTACCTGTGGATGAAACATGACCCCACACCAGAGTGGCATAAGACAAGATACTGTGACAAGCGCCAAAGTACGCTAGTTTAAGAACTGAAGTAGAGACATGATCAAGTAAATTCCTCAATAAGTACATTGAATTACAAACACGAACTGCGACGTAATTGACATGATTGTGCCAGTTGAGCTTGGGATCAAGATAGACACCCAAGAACTTTATCTTGCCCTTAGCAAAAGATTCATGTATGGGTTTAGACGTAAAACAGATACTTTTGGTTTTATTTACATTCACCGATAAGCTATTACGTTTAAACCAATCAAATGCACACGAACGTAGACAGCTAGATTTCTCAAATGCATTATTGAGTAACTTATCTCCAATGCTGAATGTCGTGTCATCCGCAAACAACACCAAGTTTGAATTAAAAGTTTGTGAATTGCGAATGATCTCAAGATCATTCACATACATCAAAAACAGCAAAGGCCCCAATATATCGTTATATCGATATTAGTTTTAAAGTTACCGAGGCTTTGCTCGAAGCCGATATCTACAAGTTTTGGTTACATTATTTGTTTTACTCCAAAGAAACTGCTCATATTAGCGTATTCACATTTTGAATTAATTAGATTGCATTGCTATTGAATAGAAATTTAGTTATTTGTGCATTTTCCTGAATTTACTGTCACGTTTATGCTATCATACAGATTGTTGTACTGAAAATCGTAGCAGATCAAAATTTTGCTTTTGCTAGTGTAAAGTCATTCGACTTCTCGATTCTTTTTGAGTATTAATTACAGTTTTAACATCCGATTGCTCCCGTGTCAGACGTTAGCATTGCCATTTCGCAATATTTTATGTGCAGCGCGATTCACTACCGCCTCTGTTTGTTTGTGTTGTCACCCGTTATAGATTTACAGAACGCACCCTTCTGAATTCAGGAGGCCGCTACGACTAGAATTCAGAATTTTTTATTTCTTTAGCTTATCAAGAACTAGGATCTCTTAGTCCGCTTTGTTTCCCCCTTTTGGTTAGTATTCTCGCCTCTCTTTTGAAAGTGACTAGGCGGGACCTATCCGGATTAATATTACTTCATTTCCTTTTTGCTTATTTTTGCTTGTGTACAAAAACCCCAATATTCTCCCCGGCCCACCTCTACTACCTGAGCTTATCGTGTGTTTATCTCAAAGTAATCTAGTTATTTTTGGTCAAAGTGAACGTACCAAGTATACGTGAACAAATTCATCCGAATAGCTAACCACCGAAAAACAATCGACCAGAAGGGCAATCATTGACCAGTCGTCATCTAGAAAAAAAGCTCTCCTGAATTAAAATAATTTTGAATTTATTTTCAATTTCATTTTATCCCGAGAACCTTCCTTGGCCTCTCACTGAAATATCTTCTTTCAAATTAGTTCTTCGTTGATGGCAACGACTTATTTTTATTTAAAAAAATTGCAAAACATGAGGAGCGAATTTATCCAATGGTAGAGCACTTTCTGGTCGATTTATAGGTTAAGGGCTAGGAATTACGCGATTTTAGCATTAGATTTTTGTATCTCGGGTAAAATGAGAACGTTCTCCCCGTGGGACGTCGTTGGCAATAATAAAATATGTAAGTCAACTACTTTCTACACATGAGTAATTTTTCAAAGCACACCAACGCAGTTTATTTATTTTCTCATTATATACTCCCTACTCTAAAGTGCGTTCATGTGAAAATCGAAAAAATAAAAGGTCGAGAATATAAAAGTAAAACGAATAAAGGAATTTATGATGTAATACTTTAAGGGAGCACAAATACAAGAAATAAATTCTCTTTGTAAGCCCAAAAACATTAATCAATTATCTTTACTGTGACACCGATTGTATCAAAGTGACTCAAAGATTTTCCCAATTTTAAATTTAGTAAGAGGAAGGGATATTAATAATAAGAAAAAGGTCCAGCTCCGTCGACTTTCCCCCAACCTTTCCTTCCCACCAAAAGTGAGGTTGATAAATGTTTGGACCCCGCCAAGATCGAAACGATAGCCTCTTAATTAATTTTCGGCAATAAATTAAATCTATCTATTAACTTTTTACTTATTTCGTATTACTTCGGTTTCTTTTATTTCTGCGGCGCCGCGCTAAACGTTTTCCTTGGAAATGGGTTCATAGATTGTCTTTTATTACGACGAGGTAGTTTAGGGAAAAGTAGAGTACAAAATTACATTTTCTTTTGTGCTATATACATTCATAGACTTGCCCGTCTTATAATTAAATTCGCTGGAAGTTGGGAAAAATGGAAAATTTAAACGTACAGGTATATCAGAAGCGCTCAAGCCGAGAGAGGAAGCGGATTTTGACATATCCTTTTATTGGGACAAATCTGGCGTTTGTGAAATCGGTCGAATATTGGAGATTAAATATGAAAAACACATCATGCGTGAAAAAGAAGTTCTTCAAAAATCGCCTCACAACGATAATCGTATCCTCTTATCGTGTAGGCAACGTTAATTAAATGCGTGAAAACTTTATTCGGGTAAAGGAAACGTCCTGAAGGTATGCCGAGGAAATCGGTAGCAATTTTGTTTGAAGTCCGCTTTGGTTATTTATTAATGGCCAAACCGAAGTTTGTTAATTTTAAGAGTTAACTTCGTAGCAATTTAAATGGAAATGGGGCGATGCGTCGGCCGAGATACTAAAAGTTGCCTTTGCGTTTCCTTTTCGGCATTTTATTTTGGCAAGCGCAATTTACATAAGACTAATGGTTGTATGACTATGACAGAAAATTTGTAGTAACTCTGTCTCTTTAACAAAGTGCACGTCGTGTCTCACCCTAAGCGAATTATTTATGGCAAATATCGTACTCCTTTACATTTTGCATCCCTCTATCTCAATGGGGCACACGCTATTTTCTTTTAATACAAACTTTATAGCTTCACAAAGTTAGATCCCAAAGAAAAGTTAAATTCGTAGCGACAGCCTCTGTAAATGTGTGTTACAATATTCGGAATTATACAATACGCTATAAAGTAACTATTTCCCTAAACTGGATTTGCAACCAATTGGATTTGACAGGATCTCTCGTGTACCGTAAGAGGTATTCACAAATACACTATAGAGATAGTCCAGCCAAAGAAGTGGGGTAGAATTGTTGACTTTAGGCGATGGATTTAGGGTCAATTACTTCCACAATTATTATAATAACTGATCTACTTTTCGAATCCAGCAGAACCCTTTTAGTTCGTTTCCATTGAAATTGGATCAGATTTTACCCCCAAAGTCTCTGCGTAAAACAAACTTTAACTGACACGCGATAAGAATTAAACTTCCTTTAAAAATTATACATTTTCTGTGGCCTACTGCAGTAATTTACCAATTTTTTCAGACAATTTTGGGCGCCCTATTTTATTTCGATCTGAACCTACCTAAGAAAAGCGACTAATTTTGAGAATTATTTTTAAGAAATGGAGTAGTTTGGGAATTTAATATCAAAGAATTTTCACAGAGTTCAAAATTTAGTGGGCTGAATTTCCAAATAAATGATATTTTTGGTGGAAATTCAAAGAATAAATTTGTCAACCGCGGTGCAAATGTGGTGTGTTTTTTTTTGCGTCGTTTAGTTTCTATGAAAAACTGTTTTTTAATGGGTTTCGGAAACCTCTGGAATTTCTATCATATTTCGTCTCCATAGCTCAGAATTATGTCACTCTATTGATCAGGAGAAGATTAGTGAGCAAGATTTTGGTAGTTCACCCCATCTTTTAGTGTCGAGTTGCTAAGCGAGACGCTAATGTTTTCTCCCAATTGTCCGATTGCTCGCTCGCTCTATGGCTTCATGGCCATCGATGTAAAGGGAACGGATGGACCGAATTTTTGCAGGTACCTAGTTTCTTTATCAAATTTGCAGTTGTGCTTTGGCACCTTTGATTATGTATCGTCATGTTCTAGTGTTAGCATATTCAAATGATGTCTTTGTTCAAGAAGAAGTCTCTCCTGGGGTGGGAGTCTCCACTAACCGTGATGCCGCGGGCGGTATCCATTGAACCTAACGTGACCTTCGGTTCTCTGCAGAGAGGTCGCCTTCCAGACACTATCTTTTGTGCTTTCATGAATATCACAATTCCAATTGGCACAATTAAAAAATACGATGGACAAGTGATATTAAAAAGGGGTTAAAATAATAGTGGCAATTAGTTTTGGGGGAGATTTTGGGATTCATTCGGATATTTAACTAACAGAATCGATGTGTCAATTAAAAATTCGCGTTTGGAAAGCTGTTCCTAGTGCGGGATCCTTAATAAAGTTTGAACCAGATTCGATTTTAGAACGTAAGCGAAACGTAGTACTTGAACTCGAAATCTGTCTCTCTTTTCCAAATTCAAACCCCGATCTTCCCCTTTGCCCGCATGCGTCACGCGTTATTGCGTTATTTTAAATGAAATTAAAGCTTTTAACCACCTTTTACCTTGCGTTTTCTAAAATAAAGTTTGACAATGCACCCTAATGCAAAGGTGCACTATTTGCATTTTTGATTAACACAAGATCACTTTATGCAATCGATTGTGGGGGATTTAACCATTACCTACCTACCCCCTTTGTTACAATGTATGTAGATATTCATTTCGCCATCTATCCCAAAAAATGTCAGGGAAGACGCTTTTAAATGAGATAAGTTATGACCAGGAACGATTATTAGCGCCTACAAAATTTATTCTACCAGCGGAATGAATTATTGAAGTAGATTCGGGTGCTAGTTTTACAGTGATGGCACAATCATGTTTTGAAAAACATCTGCTACATTAAATTGTTCAATACTTCCCAAGCCTAAGGAAGCCATTGGTGTTTGATCCTCGTCGCCAATATTAAATACCCGCTTTAGTGTAAATGGTTTATTGCTCTTTTAACTAATTATTATAATTATCTAGTAGACACCACGAAATCTCGAAAACGACTGGGCATTCCGGCGTTCCTTTGTGGTCTTTGCATACCGGTTGTTACTGTCATATTTTCTTTTGTATCTCCTAATGCTGTCTCTACTGGTTCCTCCTCCTGAAGTCTGTTGTCATCAGTACGTAGATTGTCCGTTATGATTTCATCGGTTTCTGATGGTCCATTCATAACGTTTCTACGTAGATGGTCTACATGTCGCTTCTGTGTTTTTCCAATTTCATCCACCGTTTCGTAAGTCACTGGACCCAACTGCCTCACTATCTTCTCAGGTTGCCATCTTGAACCTTCCCCTCCACCGAATTTTCGGGCCATCACAGATGCTGACTGTTCAAACACTCTGGTACTTTTAGATCCAGCTTCCATCATCTTCTCCTGCGTTTCTCGCACTTTTTTTGTAAAACTAGGCCGAAGCAGGTCAAGACAAGTGCGTATTTTTCTTTTGAACATTAATTCAGACGGTGATGCTCCTGTTGTGGTTGTAGGCGTAATATGTTGGGTTATCAAAAATCGAGCGATTTTTACTTCCCAATCTCCCGTACTCAGTTTCTTTAAAGTTCTTTTGGTTTCTTGTACCATTCTTTCCGCTTGGCCATTTGACGCTGGGTGGTATGGTGAAACTCGAGTATGTCGGATTCCATTCTTCTTAGCCCAACATTCGAACTCTTCTGACGTAAACGAACTTCCATTGTCACTTACAATTACCTCTGGAATTCCATGAGTTGCGAAAATTCCACGTAATGCTTGAATGGTGCATTTAGATGATGTAGACGGAACTCTTTTTACCTCTAACCATTTACTATAAGAGTCAACAATAATTAAAAATTGTTGTCCACAAAATGGTCCTGCGTGGTCTATATGTATTCGACTCCAAGGAATCTCACTCCATTCCCATGGGTGTATAGCTGCTTTAGCAGGCATCTTCATTTGTAATTGGCACTCTTGGCATTGTCTTACAGCACTTTCAATGGCTTGATCTATTGACGGCCACCAAACATAGGATCTTGCCAGTGCCTTCATTCTTACTACTCCTATGTGTGCCCCATGAAGAACTCTCAGCACTCGTTCCTGGATTTTCGGCGGAATCACTACTCTCGTACCCCATAGTATGCAATTCTTGTAAATTGATAACTCATTCTTTCTAACCTTGAAAGGACGTACTTCATCTTCCGCTAATCCCTCTTCCAACTTATTCGGCCAGCCCAATTGTATAAACTCCCGGATCCTGCTAAGAACTGGATCTCTTCCTGTTAATTCTGCAACTTTCTCGTCGTTTAAAGGTATTTCGGGCATATTCTCCATCATGAGTACTTCGCCAATATGTTCTACACCGCCGAGATCAACTTCTGTAGACAATGGTATGCGGCTCAGAGCATCCGCGTGACTTATGTCTTTACCTGGCCTATGTATTAGCGAATAATTATAATTACTAAGAAATAATGCCCAGCGCACTAATCTCGGAGATGACATCTGTGGAACCTGAATGTTCTCGCTCAATATTCCTAGAAGCGGCTTGTGGTCCGTAATGATGTCAAATTTCCGTCCATAGCAATAATTATGAAACTTTTTAACTCCCGCAATTATTGCCAGAGCTTCCTTGTCCAATTGGCTGTACCTGCGCTCTGTCTGGTTTAATGTTTTTGAATGAAACGCGATGGGAGCTTCCCTACCATCTTCTTCCACATGACTCAGTACTACTCCAATTGCCCAAGGAGAAGCATCGCACGAAAGTCTTAAAGTTTTCTTTGGGTCATAGTGAACCAGCAATTGTTCCGACGAGAGCAACTCCTTGACCTTTTCAAATGCTTGTTGGTGTCTTCTTGTCCACTTCCACGGAACGTTCTTGTCCAGAAGTCGATGCAAGCATTCAGCAACATTCGCTTTATTTTTTAGGAATCCGTGATAGAAATTTAACAATCCCAGAAATGATTGTAATTCCCGTTTGCAAGATGGTATAGGCGCATTTTTAATATCTTGAACTTTGTCAACCGTAGGACGTACTCCCTTTGCGTTGATGAAAAATCCCAAAAATTCAATGCCCGTAGTCCTAAAAACACATTTAGATTTCTTTAGTTTCAGTCCATCTTCTGCAAATCGGCGTAAAATTTCTTCGATCCTTTCACACAGTTCCTCATCGTTTTCCGCGGCAACCAAAATGTCATCGAAGTATGGAAAACATCCCGGAATTCCTGCCAAACGATTGTTAATGAAACGTTGAAAGATCTGCGGTGCCACCTTGATTCCGAAACAGAGTCTGTGGACCGTATAGGTACCTCTCTGAGTGATTATGGTCTGTAACTTTGCTGAATCCTCATCCACCTTTAATTGTTGATATGCCTGAGCCATATCCAATTTTGCGAATACCTTAGCTCCATTCAACGCAGTTAAGATTTCTTGAGTAGACGTCATCGGGTATGGATCATCCTGAAGAGCCCGATTAAGTGTACATTTATAGTCGGCACAAATCCTAATAGTTCCATCTCCCTTTACTACCGGCACTATTGGTGTCGTCCATGTAGGGTTATCACACGGTTTCAAAATCCCCTGTCCTATTAGTCTTTCAATTTCCGCATCAATTTTGGGCCGTAGTGCAAAAGCCACATTACGCGCCTTTAAACGAATGGGTCGTATTGAAGGATCTACTTGGAGATTTACCGGTAGCCCTCGAAAAGTACCGAGACTGTTATTGAACACCTCACTATACTTTTGTAAAACCTTCTCTAGTTTAATGTCCACCACCGATACAGAGTTCATTGACAGTCTGATACCTAACTCTGCGAACCAATTTCGTCCTAATAAACTAATGTTATCGCCCTTCGTCACTACTAATGGCAAATTCTTAACATGTTTACTAAATACTACGCGCACCAAGCATTCGCCCAGAATCCCAATGTCCTTCTTTTGCCAGTCCCGTAAAGTTAATTTAGTATCCTTTAATCGCGGTTTGTTATGGGGGAATAGTTTTTCAAAACATGATTGTACATCACTGTAAAACTAGCACCCGAATCTACTTCAAATTCACATTCCCTGTCATTAACAGATAACAAAACCCGATATGGCACTTCACCTCGACCGATATTGTGAAGTCCTGGAACAGTATCGTCGTCGGATACATCGCTGTCAGTACTAACATTTGATTTAACTAAATATTGTCCGCTCTTATTTGCTTTATTGATTTTACCTACCCTTTTATTTCCGCTTGTTTCGTTATCTTTAGCACGATTCTTCTTCATCAAGCAAGCACGCTCTAAATGCCCCTTCTTTGAACAGAATCTGCACTCAGCATCCTTCCAACGACACGTCAATGGGTCATGATTAGCTGTGCACCTCCAACATTTTGTGGCATTCAACTCCTTAGAATGTTCCATTTTGTTAATAGTAGCACTATCTGGAGCTCTTCGAAGTTCCCCTAGCTGGCAGGCTGCATTTTCGGCCGCTATCGCTGTATCAAATGCCATTTGAAACGTCAATTTTGCTTCCGTCAATAAGCGTCGCTGAAGCGATTCATCTCGCGCACCACACACGATACGGTCTCGAATTTGGTTTTCAAGATCATTGCCATAATTGCACAAACTACCAATTTTGCGAAGTTCGGCAACCCACGCGGAAATTGATTCACCCTCTTTTTGATGCCTTCGATTAAATAAAAACCTCTGTATGATTTCCGATTGTTTAGGATTAAAATGGGTAGTCAACAAATCAATAATGCGGTCGAAAGTAGTGTCGGCCAATTCATTTGGTATACACAAACTTCGCGCTATCTGAAAAGTTTGGTCACCACAAATGCTTAAAAAAACCGCACGTTTCTTATTCGCATCCGTTATTCCATTTGCTTCCAAATAAAAATTGACCCGTTGTATGTACACAGTCCATGTTTCCGCCGCTGCTACATTAAATTGTTCAATACTTCCCAAGCCTAAGGAAGCCATTGGTGTTTGATCCTCGTCGCCAATATTAAATACCCGCTTTAGTGTAAATGGTTTATTGCTCTTTTAACTAATTATGCAAAATTCACGTTAGTTTGACAACACTAACAACTGTTTACTAATGTATCTATGATTCAGTTACTCAATACACAACACTGAGCGAAGTTATAAATGGTTCTCTAGTCAACTCCGAAGCTAGTTCTAAGTCAGTACTCTTGTTGCAAAACAAACAAAAATTGATATGTAGGACTTTTGGCGTTTGGCACTTCTGTATTTTCCTAATGTAATTTGGGAGGGACTAGCATCGAAGCCTACACAGGAAAAAGCCTTGGTTTCGGAAACCCTTAACGATTGGAGGTCGCCCATGGAGGTTGATATGTTTTAGAGGATTTTTTCCAGCACGTTTGACATTTTGATATTACTGAACGGATAGCACGTCTTGCTGACTAGATCCAGAAGTGTTGGATAGTGAGAAAATGGAGCATGTGGGCGCCGGAGTGAAAAAAAATCTTCTGCATTTGCAGATTGGGTTCATTTTAGAGGTTAAAATTTGCAAGAAGTGCAAGTTTTTACATACCTAGTGAACCTTTGTCTTACTTGTGATAATCTAGCCAAGTGTTTCCAATTTTTTGGTCAAACTCGTCAACCCCAAACTGTTGTATTAATACAATGGTGGTTTGCTAGTAACTTTTAAAATACAAGGATCACCCGAAAATACAGCGTTCCGAGAAATCAAAGAAGTTTCGTGTTGCCAATGTACACGATTCGTTACTTATCTTTCTTAATTCATTGCCACTGAAGAAGGACTGTATCCAACCCAATTCAGTATCAAAACTGTATCATCACCTGAAAAAAGGCCGACGTATATCAGAGATAATTTTTTTTCTTCAGATAAAATTAAAAGTTTGAATCTTTAAGAAGAAGTCCTCGTAATTTAAAACTTGATAGAAGCTTAACAGTTAATTAATAAATTACACCTGACAAATTTTTCTTTAGTTTTACTAATTCCAAAACTGGCTCGAAGACCAAAGCACTTAAATTTATGATTCGGATAATACGAATTTTCTTGTATTACAATTATTTCTTTATTATTGACAAACACAAACTTTTTAAATTCGAAATTCCATGAGTAAGAAACTTCTTCACAAAATCAAAGTTGTTTCCACTTACTTTGTTAACATAAAGACGACTACGTTTTTTTAAAGAAAAATTACATAACCGGTTAGACTACCGGTACAAAATAGCATCACAAACTTTACGCTCTATTTAAAATAAACCTGAGACAGCAGCCTTCGGCTCCAATCCACGTTTACACTTAATTCTAGCTATTTCTAAGCAAAAACCACTTCCTTTAATAAAATTAAAATCGTTATTCCCGACGATACTCGAAATTCCATCACCGTCGGCCGAACTGATAACCACGTGCGTTGCTTATCTCTCACGTGGCATTGTTTATCGCAAAACCAATTAATTTTTGTCCGACAATATCTTTTTACTAACACCTGACCAGCTAAAACGTTACGATTAAATGTTCCAAGCAGAATTAAAGGAATAAAAAAAAATACCGGCTAAATTTACAATAAGAAGCCAACAATAAAATGACCATTCAACAAAATCTGTCCATTCTGTGTGAATTTGAAATAAAATCCCCAGATCCTATGAAATGAATGAATTACGCTATATACAGGATGCTCCGACTACCATTTCCAATATTCCGACACGTATTTTTTGACTCTACAATGTCGCTTGCTCTTATCTTCGGCATTATTTCAACCTAGAGAAACGACACCCCCATGTACTCGTAGTTTACACAACAGGTCATATGTGGTAGAAAGAGTTTTTGAAGGTGTGACCAAAGATTTATTGATGGAGAACTACGTTGGAAGGCCCGTATCCGTACAGGCAATGATGCCGCCGTTGAATGTTTAAATGAACATTGTCATGGAAGTTGCGTAGCTCGTGTAGAAACCGAAATGGAGTAAACTATCCAAGTAATTAATAATTCTGTAATTGGATTACCCAATCATAATACTTTGAAGAGGACGGTGAGACGAAAAGGAACTACACGAATGTTGCACCACCTGCACCATTAACCTCCGAAGAAATAGTTATTCCAGTAGAACATAAAACCTACATGACGTCGAATAACATACGGGAAAATCCAACCCCTAACGGGAAATTAATTTTTGGCCGAATTTATTTTTAACTATAAGTTTAATATAATTTATTTTATTGGTTCGTCGATGGAACGTTTAAATTTGCTCCAGCGTTATTAAACCGCCCATTCCGTCAGCCTAGTTAGAGTCCGTTTCCGTTTTTGCGACGTTTAAAATTCCACCATTTCTTATTTTATTTGTAAGTGTTCAATTTAAATCGTAATTGTTTCAATGAGCAGTTGCTTAGTCGCCTCTTACGACACGCAGTGTCCTCTGCGGTAGGGGTATTCTTTCCCGCCCCTACACGGGCAAATTAGATCCCAAATACCTACCAAAAAAATTGTAAAAATATAAAGCAAAATTTTATAAAACTTAATAAACCTACATTTTCTTCTTTGGCTTCTACCAATTAGAAACGTTGCTTAGTAGAAAGCCCTTTAAATTTAATATACGGTTATAATAAAAGGATGCAATAAAAATACACAGTTATAAAGGAATTTTTCCTATACTCCTATAGTGATTTGAAGTGCTCGGTTGTGAATTGGTTCAAATACACCATTTTATACTTCGGGCACCCAATGGTGCAGTGTATTTGAATTGCTTTGTAAAGCAGCATTATTTTTGGCTTGGTAATAAAATTAATCAATTAATGGTTGTAACATTTACCTACTCGTGTGGGGTAATTTATCCAAAACCTGAGATTCGATGCTAATTAATTGAAATCTATTTGGAGTGGTTGCGTTGAGTGGGGAAATTGGTTCTAATTGGGCTAGCAATCGCCACCAAATCTCAATTAGGGCATTACTCGATTTAGTTCTTAGACGATTACTTAATCAATATTGGACCAGAAATATGTTAATAATAATTTAGCAATCTATTAGGTATTATTACTAACTATTATAATTGATAGTCGAGTAAGGATACTTTTTTGGTGGGTTTACACAATAATTAGTTCACTAAGCTCAGGATCGATTCGTTGGTTAGCAACTCGCAATAAACCTTTGATCTATTGGCTATTTCCTAATGATAGTGAACTAATGATAATGATTGTATAACCCATCATTACCCTTGATATATTTTTTAGTGATTAAAAATAGTAGTTTCGAAACCCATCCATAAAGTTTTTCCTGTGCAATTGAAGTCTGTTTAGCTAAAACCACTTGAACTGGCAATTTTTTCAAGGTTTTTAATGGAAGTTTTTTCTAATAGAAAAGTGTAATAATCAAGTTGAACTCCCAGTTTACCCTACACCCTTTGCAAGGTTTATTCTCACAATTTTTAGATACCACTCCTTTGGCACCATACCACAAATTAGGAAAATGAACTTGATCTCATCTGTACGGATATCGCTCTCAAATAAACTACAAACTTAATTGAAATCCGAAGTTTATACTATACTTTGGAAAGTTCGCGTTTAATTAAATTAATTAGTAAAATAGTGACAGTTGCTAGTTTCTTAATAAACCTTCCGATCGTCTTATTTTCCCTTGCGCTTTGGTGATGAAATTGCTTTAATTTAAATTACAGGTCAACTCCATCGGAACTAATTGTCCTCACGTACAGCAATATTGAATACAAGAGTAATTTAAGTGGGTCCGTTGTTTGTATTAGCGCTTACACGTTTAATGTAGTTAATTGTTAATTAAACCGTATTCTTTTTTTTTTTAATTCAATTATGAAAATTGCCCATGAAATTTTCCACCAAACTTGCATTGCCAAATTAAAAAAGTAGGTTGAAGCTATAAAGAATTACTCATCATTGCTGTTGAATTTAATTAAGGAAACTCGTTAGAGAAAGGAAGAATTGCACCTACATTTCTAGAACGAATGTTTGATAATATGAAGGGCGAATTTTGCAGTCAATGCAATGGTGGATATTTTAAAATTTTTTTTATAAATTATTGGTGGTTCCGTTACAGTACCCCCTTCTTGTTTTTACAGGAATCAAACAGTACGCGATTCGTGTCAATTAACGATCTTTGGGCGAGCTAGCTAAATACACGACCTGTGAGATTAAAGGCACTTTATAATACGGTTTAAAATCCCTTCCTGTAAGTCACATTGCAGCGAACGTATCTGTACCTAGCAAGCCTGCGTTTTCAAATGAAATATACGATATAGGTAGGAAAGTAAGCAGAATGAAAATCAAATTTGCAATTCAAATTACTTGAAACTTTCCCATTTTAATTTAAACGTGGGGCATTCCGATGCAAAATTCTAAACGACGCACCTACCGCGCATTAATTGAGGTAATCGTTATACGAGCAAACGCAACTGGTTAACAAAAAAAAGTCAATACGAAGTCTTCAGATTGCGAAATAGGTACCGGATCCAAATCAATGCTTTTAATAAATGAGAACTGTCAAATGCAATCTACGTCTTCATGTACGCTCGATTAGTCGCAGTTTATAACCGTTTTCCAAATTTATGGCGAACAGAAATTTTAATATGAATTTTTTTCGGAAGGTGCTTTCCTTATTGAAAGTAAATAAGGGTGAATTTATTCGGCCTAATCGATCTCCTCCCTTTCCAACTTTTAATTAAGCGAAATTTATGTTCCCAAAAAAACAGAGCGAAGCTCGTTAGCTGAATTTGAATGCGCATTTGTCGTATGCAAGCTGAAACTTTGGAAAGCGTCACTTCGAAACAAGTTTCCAGTTTCATATGGATGATGAGCTTTTTACTGCGGCCGAAGTTTGTGATGACAATAGTGCAAATTAGTGCACCATTGTGTCGCGCTGCAACTGGGGAAAACAACACGTACCTACTGCTAGACGAACCACTCGTCCTTCTGTTGGTTTTGCGTGACGAGGTCCGCATCACCACCATTGGCGGGTGCGTGACTTATTTTGCCAGGCAGTAGAGGCGGGCCCGGGGCGGCGTGCTGTGGCGGAACCCTAGTGGGCCCGCAGGGTGGCACCAGTTTCCCTGTATGGGGAGAGTTGTCATTGAGCCTTGCTGCTTCATCGCTCCATTGGAGCCATACATTTGCTGAACTGGAAAAAAAAGGCACCCAGATTACTCGAGGAAACTTTGGAGAGCGCGTCGACTTACGTGAATACGATGCGTTTTGCTGTTGCGTCGAGTTACGAGGTCTCGCATTTCCTCCTCTTCTACATATACAAATCGCAACGGCCGCGATGAGGAATAATAATACTAAAAGGATGCTTACTACAACTACGACGAATCCTGTTACTTCTAAACCGAGAATAGGGCCGGACTCGTTGTCTGTAAAAAGATTAAACCAAATCAATAGTGTTCTCTAATTGAAAGTCAGAATCGTTCCCGATTGGGAACGTTTGTGGTAGAGATTGCAAATAGCTCAACGCGATTTACATAATCAAATACCTCAGAATTTACTGTACGAGGTATTTGAATAGGAGATCGGTGATAAATTGATTGATGTTCGGGAGTTTTCCCCAGCGGGCAGTTCAACTTAAATTCAATACGATCAGTTAGGTTAGGTATTTGCGGTTCCGGACTTTGTTTTAGTTGGAAAAGTAGCTACAGCTATTTGAGGAGATATGGTAGATCTACAAATTTTGGTACTCACTTTGACATAGTGTGTTGGACGATTCATCTGATCCATCGGCGCAGTGATTAATACCGTCGCAAAGCAAATCCGTCGCAATGCACAATTTTCTTAATTTACATTGATATTCCGTACATGTATGCTCTGAAAGAAAAGAGAAGAAGTAATTAATTTTCTTTTTCATTAAAAATTTCAGCTTAATTATGGCATTTTAATCGCACTGTACTATAACACTAGTCTGATTTAATGATTATAATAATTAATAAATATATTTTGGCAATTTTGTCATCTGCCCTAACTTCTTACAATTTCCGCCGATACAGTTATCAACTCCTAAAAGAAAATTTGTTTCAGAAATATGAATACATCAGTTTTTTTAAGGGAATCAAATTTTACATTTTATCCTCTTGGAGAGAAGGAGGCACCTAATAGTATCTACATCGTAGAGCGTTAATTGAATTTTCATTATATCGTTTCGGTAAGAATGGGCTCTATAGCTTTTCCTAATTCCTCTCCAAACCTCCTAAACACTCACAAGGAATTTTAAATGCGAGGTTCAGACAGGATTCTTTTAGAACTCTCATGAAAATTTCTTCAGCTTCCATAATCTGCTATAATATCTGTGATCAGATATCCATATCTCATTGGCCGTTATCAATCTAATGTTTGTTCTCTTAGTTTATTCTACAATTCTTCTAAGATTGAATTTTTGTGTTAAATCGCATGAATTTCTCTAAAAATCTTCTTGAAATTCTAAATAAACTAAAAAAATCGAAGGGGTAAAATTGTTTTAAACTTCAATTAAAATCGTATTCAAATTTTCATAAATTCAGTTGAAAATCTAATGAACTTTTCTAAATTTTTTTACGGCCCGTGTGGCGCATTTCAGTGGAAGCTGGACTGTGGTACTAAGGGTCCCTGGTTCGAATCCGGGTTCGGGCATGGATATTTGTAAATATGTAGTGGGTTGGGTTGCTAGAGCAGCCTTGGCTGAAACCCCGCCCATTCAAAAATAAAGGCAAATAAATAAATAAATAAATTGTTTCGAAATGTTTCTGAAATTTGCTTGAAATTCTCCTGAAATTGCCTTGAAAATATGCTTGTGTTCTTACGTGGCATGAACTATTTTGAAATTTTCTTGAAATCTCTTTTGTCACATGAGTTTCCTCCTAACTAAAAATTTCTTAGAGATTCTCGCGAATTAATCTGGAAATTCCCTCGAAATTCATGAGAAATTTTTGACATTTTCTTAGTTTTTCATTGGCGCTTTTGTTTAAGTTTTTGTGCCGTATAAAAGTTGATGCGAATAGTTTGAAATACCCGAAACGGTACAACGAAAATTTAGAGGAATAAGTCAAAGAAAAGAAAGAAGCGTATCACAAATGGATAAACAATAAAAATAATAAAGACAAAGAGATACATAACAAAAAACGTCGAGAGAGCTGAAACCAACGATGCAGAGAAATAGAGATTGGTGAAGAAAATGCACGGAAGCCTGAAAGTTTATAAAAAAAGGTCATTCCTTTAAAAATTTTAAATGACAAGTGGTATCTTGTGTGGCTAACTTTCTTGTGGGCGGATTTTTTGGTTAAATTTAAATTTTAAAAGCGCTTTTTCTAAATCGTTTACGATTACTTTTGGAACTTGTTTTGTATTAGAGACATAAAGTAGTAATTTAAATGTGACCTTCATGCTTGTTTGAAAAGTCCTTTATTTCCTCGTTTGATTTTTTAAAATCGGTCGACTTGTTTTTGAGAAAATTGAAAACATCTTTATTTAATTTATTTAATCGACCTATCTTAATTTGTTCGGACAGAAAACAAAAACAAACGAAATTATCACTTATTTGTTGCTATGTGACCAATCTTGGGATAGTGAAAATTAATTTATTGATTCAGATTTTACTTCCAAAATGGGTTACACACTAGCCGAAAAACTGGAAATTATTTTCTCGAAAACGAATCGACCGATTTTAAAAAATCAAACGTTTTCGAAATACCTTTCAAACAAGCTTATTACTCGATACCACTTGTCGTTTAATTTGTAAGGGAATGGCCCTGGGCGGCAGAGGGTAAAAGGTGGTGAAGCAGTTCTTGGTTAAATAGTTGTCCCCCTTGACAAATCTTTTGACGTGTCTCGGCTTTTTCCTTTAATCAGTGGTTTTCGATAAATCCGTGGTGGCAAGTTCTCAAATGAACACCCTGTATATACCTAGATCTGTCAAAAGTTTACGAGAACATGCTAACCTCGAAGCTATGAAAAGTCCGACGTGAAACAAACATCAATGAGAATTGAGGATACAATTAAAGCCGTACAAGGGTTGTATAAGTACCTACTCAAATTACGTGGAAAAATTTCAAATAGATTCCCAGTGTCAAAAGGATTAAGACAAGGGTGTTGTATCTCGCCGACCCTCTTCAAAATATATATTGACAAAGTACTCCAAAATTGGAAAAAGAAATGTAGGGGTATGGGGTTCCGGATGAACAACACGAACTTATTTACACTACAGTTGGAATACATGACCCAAAAATAAAAGAGGAGTACAAGAAAGGCGGTTCACGGATGAACATGGATAAAACAAGGTACCTATGCGTTAAAAACTCAACAGAAACGAACCTAGTTCTCGAAGGCGCCGAAGAAATCAAATTATGTGGAAAGTACAAATATATGGGCGTTGAAATTACTACCGCTGGGAGAGATACTGAAGAAATAAAGACAAAGAATAGAGCAAGGACGAAGAGAAATAAAGAAACTGAATGGAATATGGTGTTAAATAACAAGAAGAAAGAAGAAACGAATATATAACACTAGTGAAAAGCATACTCACTCAGTAGAAACTTGGACGATATCAGAGGCCCTCAGAAGATCCTGTCGAATTTCAAGGCGTGACCACAGAACCAACGCGAGTATCAAAGAAATGATCGACGCAAAGGATACAGTCATGGACCAGATTTAAGAAAAGACACCTGATATGGTTTGGGCGGAGAGGCGACTGCTTAGAGCTGCTATGGAAAGGACGCCAGCGGAAGGAAAAAAGGACGGTCCAGGGCATCATGGGAAGGAGCCATCAAGAAAAGCATGAGCGAAAGAAACCTGTCGGAGGAGTAATGCTATAATAGAGGCGAATGGGGGTAAAATCTGGAGCTGATTATATTTTTCATTCACTCTCATTTTCGTTTTCTTGAAATTTCTTTTAATTATTTTGAAATTTTGGTTGAGATTCTGTTGAAATTCTGCAATAGTTTTATTAAGTTTGTCTCGCAGATCTCTAAAATTATTATTGAACAATTATTTAGGAAGTTTCGCTCACTTTGAAATTTCCTTGAAATTCTTTCAAAATTCCTTTTCAATTCTTCCATGTTGAGATTCCCTTCTCTCAAAAAAATTTGGAAAAGTTCCGAAATATTAAAAAAAAATTCAACTTATACTGTCTTGAAATTCTCTTGAACTTGTGGTGAGATTGTTCCGAATTTCTATTAATAGTCTATTGAATTTTTACTTATTCCCTTGAAACTATAAAAATTTTTAGAAGATCTTATGAACTTGTTTTGAAATTTTTTCTTAAAAGCCTTTTTCTTCTTGAGATTTCCCTAAAGTTAGAAATTTAAAAAAATCCTTTTAATGTTTCACATTAGTTCGCCGATATTGTCATCTTTTTGAAAGAGCAACCTTGAATTTCGCCTGAAATTTTGAAAAAATTTCTTTAACATTTCATCCTTTTCTTTTGGCTTCTGGAATTCCATAAAACCATTGAATAATTATTTAATGATAAATCCATTTTTTATTCAATGATAAAACTCAGTTGCTATTTTTTATTTTCTTTAATTTCCATTTAGATTATTTTAAAGTTTCCCCTTACGTTTTCATGAAGTTTCTCTCAAATCCTTCGCAAATTCCTTAATTTGTCTTCATGTTTCCCCTCAGACTTCCCTTAATTTTCTGTAGGTATCGCTCAAGTTGTTCTCAAGCTCAACTTAAGCTTTCACATTTACTGTTCCATTTCTTCTACAATATCTTCCTAAGCCAAGTTGATTACAAGCTGCTCAAATTTTATTTTCAGCCAAGGCTGCTCTACCAACCCAATCCCTACATTTACAAATATCCATGCCCGAACCCGGATTCGAACAAGGGACCCTTAGTATCGCAGTCGAGCTTAAAATCAACTGCGCCACACGGCCGACTTTTTCCTGCGAGCTCTCATTGAATTCTTTCCAATTTTCATATACAGGGTGACACTTTTAAAACTTTCAATTGGCGATATCGTTTTTTATATTAGAGGTATCACAAAATGGCGAAAACCGTTTCGGTAGAATCGAGGGGGAAGCAAAATGGTCGTATAAAGAAGGAACCAACTTCAACCTCGTACCCCCCGCCACCCCCATGCCTAAATATTGAATTGTGACGTATCACTTGTGATACATTATTGGAAAGCTCTTAAAAAATGCTTTTCAGAAATATCAACACTGGTGCATTTAAACTGCCCATTCACAATTTATGTAATAAAAATGAGTAATTTGAGTATTTGATAAATTTGTCAGTGTTTGAAATAAAAAAAAATTTCTTAGATCTATTGATGCTTTGGAAAAACAATGACAGCAATTTTTAGTAAATAATAATTTTCTATTGCTTTATTTGTTGATCGGTTATTATTATTTTAGTCTCGTTTTTAGTATTTCTTGGCAAGAAAATTACAAATTTTGAATTTAACTAAAGATTTCATAATGGTGTACACGTTTGCCGAAAGAGTTGAAATTATTTTCATCTATGGTTCTGAAGCGCGATCTGCATTTAGAACAGCAGCTGTTTTTAATGCCCGACACCCAGAACGACGTGTCAGTCACACTTATGTTGCAATGTTAGTGACTAAATTTGAAGAAACTGGGTCAGTGGAAAATAAGAAGAGACGGACCAAGAATAATGGATGAAGCTACTCAGATTGAAGGTCATTTTGGTGCAAACCCAACATCATCTATTCGAAAAGCAGCGACTATGACCGGACTTTCGCGAGAAACTGTACGACGAACTCTTAAGGTGCACAAATTCTACCCTTATAAGATGCAGATTGTACAGGAACTAACCGAAGACGACTCCGATCGAAGAATCCAATTTTGTGAAATAATGACCGAGAATATTCAAAATAATCCGGAACTGGTGAAAAACATTTGTTTTAGTGATGAATGTACATTCTTTTTAAATGGAAATGTGAACGAACATAACTGCCGGTATTGGGACGATAAAAATTCTCATCTTTTTCGCGAGGGGCATACTCAACGGCCCCAAAAAATTAACGTCTGGGCAGGTATCAGGTGATAGCATTATTGGTCCTCTGTTTATCGAAGGAAATTTAACTGGAGATACTTACCTAAACATGCTACAAAATACCGTCGAGCCTCTCATCACTCATGAAATAGAGAATCAAATAAATCCAATTGACGGAAACATGAATTTGATTGAAGATTTCATACATTTTCAACAAGATGGGGCTCCTCCTCATTACTCTATGGCTGTTCGTGAATTTTTAGATGAGAAATTTCCGGGACAGTGGATAGGGCGAAGAGGTCCTATAGAATGGCCAGCACGATCTCCAGATCTGACACCATTGGATTTCTTTCTTTGGGGTCATTTAAAATCGGTTGTGTACAAAACTGAACCAGCTTCCATAAATGATCTTCGCTACCGGATAGTCGGGGAGTGCCGTTCACTTTCCAGGGAAGTGTTTAAAAATGTTAGAAATGAATTTGAAAACCGTTTGTGGTATTGTTTAGAACAGAACGGTGAACATTTTGAACATTTTATTAAATAAAAGTTGTTTATTTGCGGAGTTCAAATTTTAGTGTAATAAATTGTGAATGGGCAGTTTAAATGTACCAGTGTATTTCTGAAAAGCATTTTTTAAGAGCTTTCCAATGATGTATCACAAGTGATACGTCACAATTCAAAATTTAGGCATGGGGGTGGCGGGGGGGTACTGGGCTGCTCAGAAGGCTGCACTGGGTCCCGTCTCGCTGCTCAGTATAATATAAGTCGCCAAGTGTGAAGGGGCTCTTACGAGTATTTACTTTGAATTTTGCAAGTACAAGCATATGCTCCCTTTTATTCATATGGGCCAATATCATCAAAAGGAAGAGACCCCTTTGCAGAAGTGTTTATTATAATTAGATGAAGATGTACCTTACTTCAAAGAAATTAAACGGTTCATTTTTGTTCTGATTTGATTTATCATAGGAAGATTTACAAGCTTGAATAATTATACAAAATTTCGTAGCTTCTAAAGTTTGAAAATGAAATATCAAATGATAACGACCTATTTTCCAGAACATGGCCATCCACTATAATGTATACGGTAATGGACAAAACCCAATATTGATTTCTAAATTCATGCTACACTATTATTACCATTAGGGCCGTAAATTTAGCGGCTTCATGATGAATTTACACCGAGAGGATGCGATCAAATTAAACTGACGTAGAGCAGGTTGAACGTGTATCGCCAATGGAAAATTTGATTACCAACTTGACACTCTACAACCGTATATTTGTCTCATTAAATTAATACAAAGTTTAATATTCGCAATTCTCCCAAATAGTAATTAAGTGGACGGATACGTGCAGCGTAAAAACTCTGAAATTAATTTTAAGTGGAATCGCGTCCTGAAAAGTACTCGTCCTCCCTTAGCGAAGCGAGGGATGTTTCGATCCGATGACGTGTATACAGCTCGATATTTGGAAATGAAAGTTTGCAATTAATTTTGATTTGTGATCACGAATGCGAATGTCATTTAACATATAATTGCTGTTATAAACCCCTCAATTATATCTGAATTATTGACTCGAACGTAGTAATTACGGCTTTCGTCGATACTTATACCTAACCCCCATACACCCTATAATAGGTAGTAACAACAAAAGCTGTATATACTCACTGATGTCCTTAACGGCTGTTATAACTAATTTAAATCCATTCGAGTCGGTACCCCATCCATCGGTGACGTATTTGAGTGTTACATAATTTGTGTTCGTGAACATCACCCCCAGCTTTTGCTTCGTATTCTTGCATGTTAAATCAGACTGTAACAAACAACAAGCATCACATATAATATACGTTATTAATTAGGCAGAAAATTTCGGTTAAGCGCTCGGTAAATTTGCATTTTCCTAATTATGTATTCCGATTATGGACTCAATTATAAATTAAAGGGCGGATATTTACATATAACTCGCGAAATTAATTAAATGACTGCTTCTGACGTATATCGCAATGTGCTTTACGCGTGACAGTATCAATTACCACAAAGGATTCGCTGCATGAAATCAAAGGGGTTAAAGGCTGTCTGATTATCGGATTGAAGACGCGATAGCGTTCTCTAAGGAATAGTAGATCTAATCTAATGAATTATTCTAATGCGTCTGCAGTAACAGACACTTTTTTCTACATCCTAATGAGATCAACGGGCAATACCTACAACAGTTTTTGTTGTAGAGTAAACGAATGTATCTGTTAGCGGCACTTAAAATGAATTTTGGGTGTGATTCAACAAAATTAATCGTAATAGTGCATAAGACTTATCTTTTCGTCGTTAAAGGGTCCGAATGAACACACAACTTGTTTGAAAAACCAAATCTCACATACAACATTAAACCCAGATACAGTGGGGAACTTACAGTTTTCGGGTCAAAATATCCAAGTACAGTCCGAAAACACCAAACCACTTAAATTAACGGAATCAAATGCACTTAACAAACACGTAACACAAAAAAACTTGTTCCGAAGATGAACTTTCGTTAGCGAATTTTCCATGTCGATTATAATGTGGAATGTGGCACGAGGTAAAAAATCATGATCTTTCGCTGGGTAAACTTTTTTGGGCTACCAGTGGAACATAAAAATGAGAGGTATTTTTCTACGATTAAACTTTCAGACACGTTTTTGAATCACGTTACTTAAAACTATTTAGGCTCTCATTGATAATCTAAATCTGAAAATTGGTTTTAAAACACCCTGTAGAAGCGCGATCTATATTTAAATCATTCTCATGTAGCATCGAGTCAGTATTGTCAATTTTGGAAGAATGTTTGAAGTTCAAATCAACGGAGTCCTTAGGTACCGGGCTCAAAAGAAAAGCAAATGTCAAAAATTTTGAAAAAGCCTGAATAACTCGAAAACATTTGATGTAATATTTAAAGGGGCGATTTTACAAGCACAGTCAGATCCGATTATTACGATTGCTCAACTAGAAGCCATTTTACTCTAAATTTCCAGCTTTGGAAATGTCTGTGAACGAAAACGATTGACCAAAACGCAATTCAGACCGTGTCAATATGCCATTATAGGGCAACCCGAAACAGTTTTTCCTTATACATCGCTTTCTGAAATTTCGTTTGTGTCAGTAAAAACGAAACGTGCGTGCTTACAAACCTGATTCCTTCAAAAGCTTATAGATTTACGATGTAGCCGTTGATGTACAAAAACCTCTCCATTAAAAACGACCCGAAACCCTTCATTCATCGAAAGTGATCAGAATTCGGCCTATTTCATGAAGAAATTATATTTTCATAAATATTTATGAAACATTGGAGGGATCGCAATGAATTTTCCATGATGTGCCCGAACGCAATAAATATTATTCGTTGAAGTGTTTTATTGCTGTTTTAAAACTTTCGGCATTAACCTTCGTGTTGTTTGTTCTACCGAAATGACCTTTAAGAATCTTACTAAAACATTATTCGCTCGGTCGCGTTGTAAATTAAAACGTCTCGAGATTGAAATGTGAGGGTTGCTTATGCAAAACCATCATCATCAATCTTTTCTGCCAATACAGTGAGCGAACCATTTTTGTTGAGGTTTCCGAATTTTATTATTAGAAAGCAACCGAGCCTATTAGCGAAAACCGCTTTTTGTCTCGAAGCTTTTAAGAGCAATTAAGGCGCAGTGTTAACGTTTCTTGGATTGACGAGCTTTTAATATATTAATTCGGAGCGATGGAAATTTCGGTAAATTGACCTGTAGGTCCAAGTGACTATACCATTTGCTCAAAATCTCAGTTCTTCTAATAAAATTAAAGTCGAAAACATCTTCCTAAATTCTTAAAATTGTGTAAAATAGGTCAGAATGTTCGGGTTTCATAAGCATAACTAAATTCGTATTACCTATGTTGTACAATTTCCTTTACGTTTGCTTCGTAAGTGTAAACTAATGCAAAAGGACCTTTTGTTTCATTGTAGATTGCACGCTGGAGTTATGAACTACAGAAGGAAGTCGAAATCACTATCTTGAAAACTGAAGTAATTTAATTTTCTGCCCCTACCTCTCCACTCCCCTTAATATTTTTATGAAAGTTAGTAAATCATAAAAGGGTAGTTTATCTCTTGACGTAAACTTTCAACACATAGGAATTATGTAGTAGTTTGTGATACTATGGAAAAGGTAGAAAGACTTACGAACCGACGGATAAAGAAGATTTTGTAACAAAATCGTCCAGGCCTTATTCTACCTGTACTTGGATCAAGTTTTCTCCGATCATCATTGATTCTGATGCGTTCTTAATTTTAAATAGAAATGCAATAAACGTTAAAATTTATCCTCACAATAAACGGCAAACGACAGACGGACGGACAGAAAGTGGTCATAATAGCGTCTATCGCTATTATGGCAGTTTAACCAAGAAAAATCTTGATGGTGGACGCGCATTGTCAGCTTTGATATTTATTGACATATTTTTTTTTTAATTTTAAGCATAGATGCTTCTAGTAGAGAAAAACATAGTGATATGGCCTTTTGGAAAATGCGTTAAAGTTACTCTCCTTGAGGTGAAAACCTTTTTAGCGCATTTTCCTTAAAGTGAAAAATCGCTATTGGCTGCACTTTGTCGTCCGTCCGTCCGCACGGAGAAAAATGGATTCTTATAGAATGTGGCCTGTAGAATCCATAATTTTAAACAGTTCCAAGATTGGGCTACTAGTTCAAAAGTTACAGCCCTTTGAATTTTCTTTCGAAATTGGTTTCTAAGAAGTCCATAACTTTTGATTGAGAAGTTTAATCGAAAAAGTACGAATTGTTTTGGATTCTACGCACCAAAATTAATAAGAAAAAGTGTTTTCCCGAGAAATTTTGGTGTAGTCGATTTTTGGTAAAAAAAGAAGGTTATACACTGCCTTTTTTTGAGCCCCGAAAAAAAATTGTCTCAGATCGACCCGGAAAAAAATTTTCTTATAGAATGTGGCCTGTAAAATCCATAATTTCAAACAGTTCCAAGATTGGGCTACTAGTTCAAAAGTTACAGCCCTTTGAATTTTTTTCGAAATTGGTTTCTAGTCTATAACTTTTGATTGAGAAGTCTGATCGAAAAAGTACGAATTGTTTTGGATTCTACGCACCAAAATTAATAAGAAAAAGTGTTTTCCCGAGAAATTTTGGTGCAGTCGATTTTTGGTAAAAAAGGAAGGTTATACACTGCCTTTTTTTGAGCCCCGAAAAAAAAATTGTCTCAGATTGACCCGGAAAAAAAATTGCCTTATAGAATGTGGCCTGTAGAATCCATAATTTCGAACAGTTCCAAGATTGCGCTACTAGTTCAAAAGTTACAGCCCTTTGAATTTTCTTTCGAAATTGGTTTCTAGTCTATAACTTTTGATTGAGAAGTCTGATCGAAAAAGTACGAATTGTTTTGGATTCTACGCCCCAAAATTAATAAGAAAAAGTGTTTTTCTACAATCGATATCCAAAGTAGGCATTTGCGCTCGTATTTGACAACGCAAACGTCATCTTTTTCGAGGAATGTCACTTTGTCGCTTATAAGCGACAAAATAGAAAAAACGCTCGCTCTCCCAATTATTAACTATAAATCAAATATGCATTGCTCAGAGTATCCAATGACAACGAGTAAATGACATCTTTCATTTGGGCATAAGATTAAAATGATTTGAGTGAAAAATTTAAATTTCTGGAAATATGTGAACTGCTCGATTGTAGAAAAAATCTTGTGTGTAATTCGAGCGCAAATTGATTGTCGATTTCAAGAGATTGCCGCGCTCCTTCGTCGCGCGTCAACTGTCTCTTTCAATCGACAATATATCATTTTGCGCTCTTAATACACAAATAGCTATTTCCCGAGAAATTTTGGTGCAGTCGATTTTTGGCAGGGTGTGTATATTAGTTGCAATAATCTAAGTTACCCTATACGTATTATATTTTTTGATAGCTATTATTATATTTTTAATTACCTTTAACATACATTTTTCTCCGTGCGTCACACGTTACTCCTTCTATACCACTTAACCGATTTGGGCGATATAGGACTCATTTGAAAAGACTTGGTCCAATGATTCCGTGCATACCGATATTTTTTATTTTGCGCACGCGCAGTGTCAAAAATTTGGTTGAACGCATGTGCAATGCTAACTTTTTTATTTACGAAGATTTTAAATGAAACTTTATATGTAAACAGTACAATTATAAGTAAAATTAAAGACGTTTTCAAATGTTTTGCGCATGCACAATGCCAATTATCTTATTTATGAAAAGCATTTAAATGAAATTTTATAAATACGCACTTGGAAAAAAGCAAATCTAACATTACTTTCAAAATTTGTGTACCTCCACTATTTTCAATGATGTATAGACTTCGACGATAGGCGGCTCATTTGAAAAGAGACTGGGGTAAGGATCTCGAGCCTACCAGAATTTTTTCCCGGTCCTAGAATTAATATTATTTAGAGAAAAATACGCTCTCGTTATTTAGGTTTGCATAATTACTTTTTAACTTGTTTATTTTTCATGATTTTTGGGGAAATGCGCTAAAAAGTGGTAATCAGACGTGCTTAAAAAATAAGTATAAAGTAGTAAGTGTATCATAGAACCACATGAAGATCTAAAGGGGCAAGTTTTACACTGCACGACGGAAATAATTTATTATGAAGTCAAATATAGAAAATGTAGCAATCAAACGTGTTTAACCTTAAGCAAAGGGTAGTATAAGTATTACTCCGAAAGAAAAGACTCTCTTAATGGTCTAAAGGGGTAAGTTTTATCCTACACGATGAAATAATTTATTATAACGTGGCAGTGACAT